AGGGAATATCTTTAGGTTGTTGGTGTTCGCTGAGGTTGAGTTGGCCCTATGTACAATGGAATAGAACTTTGCCTGGTTTCACCTCATTCTCATGACTGATTGCTGGGTTAGGACTTGGGAAGTCCTATCCAAATAAGCACTGCCATTTGTCCGTCTCTGATTTCTCATTTCTCTGTCTGAAAGAATGGCAGAACTCAGGATGGATACTTGCAGGAATCTCATGTAGATACAAAAGTGCAGCATAGCATAGATGTTGCAATCAGACAGACTTTGGTTCAGGTTCTACTTCTCTATTTAATAGTTGGGTGACCATCAGTTACTGCAGATGATCACCTAACTAATTCCTCATAAGCTGGTGAGAATCAAATGAGTTAATAACAAGTATGCTTTAAAAGGTTTGTGGAAAAATTACGTTATTTTTAATTCAGTTTTTCCATGAACTTTTTTAAGCCTCCTCATACATATGAGACCTTAGTACAGGACTTGGCGTATTGGAAGCAATATTTTTAGTTGAACGTGTGCTTTCAGTGTTTAAGAACCAGCTCAAGTTTAAGAACTAGCTCAAGTCTTTCTGATAGCACTTGCTATCAGAAGTGAGCTAGGGATAGCAGCTAATAAATACCCCATTTCACAGATGAAAAACCAAGCCCAGATCTCACATTCAGGACTTAAACTTTATCTTGGTTTATTTCTCTCTGGAAGTGACCTTTTTATTCTCTTTCACTGTTCACCTAAGAACTCCTTTCTTTTTTTCCCCTTTCATTTTCCAGTGCTCTTACGCCAGGACGTATTCTCACTTATGATAGATGTTTCCATAGATCTCTTGTTCCCTTAGAAAAGGATCCCTATCTGCCTGTACAGACCCCTGGCTTCTCTGGTCTTTTTCCCACCCCCACTGCTTGTCACCCAAGTAGGTATGCGGAGTTCTGTTAGTCGCTGGTTCTTCTTGGTCTGTGGTGGCCAAAATGTAGACTGACGGGAGTTTTCCTCCTCTGGCCAGACTTTCTTCTGAGCTCCATAAGAGTACTGAAGCATAGAGACTTGAGATGTCTCTGTTCCATGTGCAAAGACCTTCAACCAGCCTCTCTCCTCTGTTCAGTGCGGGAATGGGCTGAACAGACAGAATTTTGTCAGGGTTTAACTGATACACTCACTTTGTGGCCTTGGATTAGTTTTCTCTTCCCAATTTTTCAGTTGTTTGTAAGAGCCGTATTAAAATAATATAAATGAATCAGTGTAGTGTATGATTTAGAATACTGACTCTGGAGCCGAATGCCTGTGTTTCAATCACTGCTGCCGTATCAGTTCTTAGCATGGTAACCCTGACAAATGTCCTAACCTCTTTGCCTCATTTTCTGATTATAACATGATGCTAATAGTTTCAGCTGGCCTGTGCACAGCAGAGACAGTTCTCAGGGATGTCAGTGCAGCCTGTAATCACACGTGTTCCTCTCTCCCATGTGGCCTCCAGGCTCCACCGTTAGCCTAAGGGCGAACAATAGTAAACCTCTGAAGGAAACTAATCGTCAGATCTGCTGTATAAACTCATCAGCCGCTCCTCAGAAACCCTATGGTGGTGGTGGTTCCAACTCATAGCAGTCTTGCATAGGGTTTCTGTGTCTGTAAATCTTTATGGGAGCAGAAAGCCTCATCTTCCACCAGAGGAACAGCTGATAGTTTCGAACTGCTGACTTTGAGGTTAGCAGCGTGACTCAAACCACTATGTTACCAGAGCTCTTTCAGAAACCCTCTACGGGGTCTCAGTGAATGGGAACATACTAAGTGGCACATAAAAACAGCAGCAAAACCAAAGAACAAGTCCTGGTATGGCATTATAGGATGAACACTGGACGGCTAACTGCAAGATGGGTGGTTCAAACCCACCACTTGCTCCTTGAAAACCCAATACAGGGTTGCTTTGAGTCAGAACTGATTGGACAGCACTTAACAACAACAACAATAGCAAACAAAGAACATGTCCCCATTTAGATAGTCGGGTTGTACACATTTTATGTTCCTGTTTTATGTATGAGAAGAGGGATGAGAAAAGGAGGTCACTGTTAGATCATCCAATTACATACTATCTGCATGACAATTACATTTCACACTATTTGCTTAATCTTTGTGCCTATGATATATGTGTGTTTGACTATGAGAAAACTTTAAAAAGTTCATAGAAAACTGAAATGAAAAGATAATGGCATTTTTCAGCAAATTTTTTGAAGCCCCCTCCTATGTATATGGTGATGATGGTCGTTGTGTGCCAGCAAATCGGTTCCAACTCATATCAACCTTGTGTAGGGCTCAGAGGCTGTAAATCTTAATGAGAATGCAAAGTGTCATTTCTCTTCCTTAGAGCACCTGGTAGATTGGAATTGTTGACTTTATGGTTAGCAGCCCTGCTCATATAGCCTAAGGGCTCCTTCATATGTATATTATTGCTGTAGTGGATTTTGAGGCTTTTTAAGTCTTCAGATGAGCAGAGAGCTTCATCTTTCTCTTGTGGATGGGCTGGTGGGCTCATTTTTCAGACCTTGTGGTTCACAGTCCAGTGTTTATCGTATGGAATCACCATGCTCCCCTATGTTGTATGTGTATATATGTGTGTGTATTATACACACATACACAGACGGGGGTGGGAGCTTCAAATACTTCATGGAAATATTCCACTAGCTTTTAATTTCAGCATTACCACAAACATTTTGAAGATTTTGAAGTCTCTTCATATATGCTACACATACAACCCTTTGATTTCAAACAGTTTTTTCCTCAAACTCATCCAACCAGGGTTCCCATATTATATATATTTTTCTCTCTCTCTTTTAATCAAGGATAGTCCGCTGGCTTTGAAGGGATGGGTTAGATGTTTGGGACAAAATTGTAATTTCTGAAATTTTCTGTGACTTCTTTAGGTGTTACTTAATTTGTACTTTTGTCTTCTGCATATCGTGTAAGGCAGCTGTTTGCTGAGTATATAGTACATGTTGTTGTTGTTGTTTAGTGCCGTGGAGTCAGTTCACAGTGACCCAGTATAGGGTTTCCAAGGAGTGACTGGTGAGTTGAGCTGCTGATCTTGTGTTTCAAGCCAACCTTGTGGTCCTATGCTTATCCTACAGTGCCAGACCTCTTCCATTTCTTGTTGCAGGGAGCCTTGATGGCACTGTAGGATAAGCACCAGACTGCTAACTGCTAGGTCAGCACTTCAAACCCACTAGCCTATTCCTCAGGGCAACGATGAGGCTTTTTGCTCCTGTAAAGATTTACAGACTCAGAAAGCCTGTACTCTGAGTTACTGTGCGTGAGAATCAACTATATCTCATTGTTAAGTTGCCCTTTAGTTGGTTCCAACTCATAGCGAAACCGTGTAGGGTTGCCGGGGAGCAGCTGGTGGGTTTGAACTGCCAGCCTCACAGTTGGCAGTCCAGTGCTTATCCTACATTGTCACACCAGTATTTCATTTGACTTGATGGCAGGGTTTGTTTGTTCCTTGACTCACTCATTGTCTGGAATAGGGAAGGCACACCCTTCTGGAATCAGGAGGTGGGGAGAGCAGAAGCTACTTTTTGAGGAAGCGACATTCTATCTGAGTCTTAGCAGAGAAGTAGGTGGGGGAACATATGGATGAGCATTGAGACTTAGGAACAGTAATTGCAAAGTACTGTTGACTAGTTGGTTCTGGGAAGTGACCCAAGAAGACAAACCTTGAAGGCCGTTGAGAACAGGTTGTAAAGGGTGATGAACTCTGTGCTGAGGAGCCTAGTATTGTAGATGTCTTGCTAATCTGTAAGAAGAAATAACACATTCTTTTAAATTACAATTTTTCTCATTAGTTTGTTGTTGTTAAGTGCTTTTGAGTTGATTCCAACTTATAGTGACACCCTGTATATAGGGTTTCTGAGGAGCAGCTGGTGAACTTGAACCATTGACCTTGCAGTTCAAATGGCTTTGCAGTCTGGCACATTACAACTACTTATTTCCCATAATCTCGCTACCCTGAGTTAAGTATTGTGCTGTATTATTTTCCTAGATGTTTGTGTCTGTACATGTTTCATAAAGATTTAAAGCTGGGAATGACATTAGCGTTGTGTTAGACAATTCTAGTTACAGGGTAAGGGATGAATTTGAGGGGAGGGCTTGTCATGGTGACAGGTGGCAGGGGGAGAGAGAAGAAAACTCAGGGACAGAAACTTTTGGAAGGTCAAATTAACAGGAGAAGAGGGGACAGGGTCACAGATTTAGGGCATCAGTGCTATTAATTACTGTTTTTGGGAAGTGAATGGATCTGGCTCTCAAGATTGTTAAGACACTAGCTTCAACAGGGATATAGTTCTTTTCATCTGTCTTTAGTTTTCTGTGACCCAGGCCTGTGGCCCAGACAAGCATAGCTCATGAGGTAGCCAATGCTGTTGTGGGCAGGCAGGCCAGGCCCCCTCCCACGTGGGTATTGACCTTTCATTCCTCTGACTTTATCCTGTCTGGTGATTTCCTTCATACACTGCAAACCTCTCCTCACATACGGTACACGGTACACTGTAGATCTCCTATTTCTGTGATGCCCTATCTCAGCCAGGAGAGGAAGGAAGACTGTAGGGAAGAATTTGCACTCCTACTCTTATTTGGTGCCTCTTGGTGTCAGATTAAGGCTATCTATGGTTGCAACTACAGAACACAGCAGGTTTAAGTTTGTGCCCCTTTCTAGGGTCCTCCTTAGGGTCCCCTTCTGACGGTTAAGTCCCCTGGCTTTCTGCGTGTGCAGAGTCCTGGACTTTGGAGAGCAGGAGTAGTATGGATGTTCACCTAGGGTCATCCTGTCTTTCCATTTTGCTTAAAGGAGGTGACTCCAGGTGTGTTAACATCTTGCTGCTGCCCAGTTATTGAAGCAGTGTGGTCCAGGAAATGGGCTTGTGGTTGTGGGTTGGTCTCAACCCTGCTGAGGACTCTGGGTGGGAAGGGAAGGGGCTTTGTATCTCATTGACTTACAGCCTTCTCTCCCTCTTTAGTTTGTTCTGAAGAATTATGGAGAGAACCCAGAAGCCTACAATGAGGAACTGAAGAAACTGGAGTTGCTCAGGCAGGTAAGAGTATAGTATTTTTATCCATGCACAGATAGGATTGGTTTGATAAGGAGGTAAATAAGCCATCTAGAACTGTGTTCTTATTTTAACTTAGTATACCTTTTCTGAAAAAACAATTAAATTGATGGTAGAAATTTTTGGGGAAAAAATCAAAGGCGGGGGGGAATAAAAAAGTTGAAACCAGCTTTATTTAGGCTAAAGTCCATAGAGAAAAAAGACCAAAAAACCCATTCCAAATTTTTTGTGTAAAAAAATATAGAGAGAGGGAGACTTCACAAAATTCATGGAAGAATTTATATATATTATATGATAAGAATTATAATTATATATAATTATAATGATCTAAATTAAAATAATTTATATGTATTATATGATAAATTATATTTATCATATAATTTATATGATTCCATTATCTTTTGATATAATTTTTCCACAAACTTTTTAAAATTCCCTCTTATAGGTAGGAAAACCCAAAAGTAAGATCACACCAAAAAGTCTTGTTTTTTTTCATTTAATGTATTTTGAATGTGCATCTGTATCAACAAATGCATAGCACTATGTAAAACTTTTTATTGTGAAAATACACACAACAAACCATTTGCAAATGCAACAAATTCCACATTTATGTTTCAGTGATATTGATTACATTTTTCATGTACATGAGGCCTTCAAAAACTTCATGGGCCATATTAAGGCCCTCGCTACATCACAGATACCAATGTTTCCCACCCCTTTTTGTGGTAATGTTATCAAAGATAACATCTTTTATCTCAGATTTCCTATAATTTAGATTTAAATGTATTTATTATAATTATTATTAATGCTTTTGCTATTATAAGGTGCCTTAGTGGTTTAGTGGAGTCCTGGTGTGGCACTGCAGAATATCGTGCTGACCTGTAAATTCAGTTTGAATCTCAAAGTTGGCACTTCAAACCCATCAGCTGCTCTTTGGAAACTCTATATAGGGTCTCTATAGGTTGGAATCAGTTCGATAGCACTTAACAATAGCAACAGTGGTTTAATATGTTAAGGGTTGGCTGCTAACCATGAGATCAACGGTTCAAACCTCCAGCCACACAGCAGGAAAAAGATGAGGCTCCCTGCTCCTGTAAAGACATACATTCTTAGAAACCTAATGGGGTAATTCTGCTCTGTCCTAGCATGAGGGACATACTAGTTGTATTTACTAACCAAAAATGTCTTAAATCTGACCTTTACACTTGTTAAGACATTTCTTTGTATGGAAATATGTCCCCCTCACTTGGACAGTTTCAAGTTACTGTCTAATGATCATAACTTTTCTTTGTGAAGGACTGATTACCTTTAGCATTTCTTATAGGGCTTGGCCTGGTGGTAGTAAGTTCCCTCAGTTTTTTGTTTATTTAGGAATAACTTAATTATGCTCTCATTGTTGAGTGACAGTTTTGTCAGATATGTTCTTGGCTGACAGTTCTTTTCCTTTGAGCATTTTAAATGTTATTTCATTGCCTTTTTATTTGCGGTTCAGCCTCTATATTGTATATTAAATATTTCCTTCTATTTTATGAGTCACAATAACTGGATTTCACCTAAGCATTGTATTGTGTAGGGAAAATGTCCCTTCCCTAAACTTTTTTTTGTAAGTGGAGGCTTACAGGGCAGATCACTATTTTTACATTCAACAAATCATTGTACTGATTACAATCCCCTCCATGCACCTTTAACTAACATTATTTACCTCTGTTACATTTTTTATGTACACATAACACACTGTAAATATATATTCATTTAAATGTCCAAAGGGTACATTTTGCAAGCCAGCCTCCTGCCTGTAGACACACACTGCTTTTCTGTTCATGCTCTTTTTATAGTCTACTGCTGATCTTTTTCTCTATGCCTTTGCTACCATCTCCTTTGGCTCTGCTTTTCTGGTTAGGGACCCCTTGCTCCTTTCATGTTCTTCCCTCTTGATGGTCTTAGGGTCTCTTTCCTGAAACAACAGATAACTGCTCCTCCTTTTAGTTGCACTTCATCTACATTTATAGTTGTGACAATCATCATTAGACCTGAAAACAGTTACTGGCAATTGAATCATAAAATCCTATCCCCCTAATTACCAGACTCATGTGGACATGCAGCAATTTCTGTCTTACTCCCCTCCTTCTGACACTAAGCACCCTCATGAAAGCTTGTAAGCCTACTACTTCATGCCTTTATGGACCCCCAATTTTGGTAGCTGAAGTCTAAGTCGCCCATCCCTATTAACCCAGTGTACTGAGGAGGCATGCTTGAGCCTTGATATGAAGAATTCTCCCCTATTTGGTTGGAATTTTAGACAGCTTCATTCATAATCAGATTGTAGCAACTTATACTTGTTCCCTATATCATACTTCTTTATCTTTATCTGGTTGGCAAACCATCCATGCTAGGTTAAATGGGTACTGTCTGCAAGTCTGGGAGTTCTCACATACCGCCCCACCTCTTTAAGTCAGCTGGCTGCTTCATTCTTAACTCTAGCCTCCAGTGGTTAGGTCTATGTCTTTGGTCTTGGGAGTTCACACGTCTCTCTAAACTTCAAACCATCCCATCTTCTTCTCTCTTTCATCTCAAGGTCATCAGGAATCTATGGAATATGGCCAGTCTCAGCCCATGTCTTCTTTGCTACATTTCCCCCACTTCCACTCACAAGTTGACCAGGACAATCACCAGCGAGCATACAAAACTGTTTGGTGTTCCCTTTGAGTTTCAGTCTCAGAAAGGGGTTTACTCTGATGGGTTTTTTTTTTTTTTGCCTTGATGACTCGGGGGCAGACAGCTTATTTGATATTGTTATAGCCAAACAGTGTTGTTGTTTTTTTGTGTGTTTGTTCCCCCCCCCCCCCCCCCCATTGGTCTTTCTTTCAAGAAGTGTCTTTTGTTTCTCTGGCTGTTCCTGGTTGGTCTGCATGTCTTTTCAATTGGGAATGTCCCTCTCCTGAAGGTTCTGGGTTCATTGACTTCTTCTTGCCTGCATGGTTTCTGAAGAGAAATTGGCACTTATATTAATTTGAATCTCTTGTGTTTAATATTTTGCTGCTCTGGTGCTGTTCTCAAATTTTTCATTTTGTCCTTGGTTTCCAAGGGTTGATCATTATAATGCTTGGTGTGGCTTTGTTGGATTTATCCTTCACTCACCTTCTTGAATGTGAAAGTCCCTGTCTTTAATCATACTTGAGAAATTTAAAGCCATTATTTCTTTTAAATTTCTGTTCCTTTCTCTCTTCTCCTTCTGGGGCTCTTGTAACTACATATATGGAGTCCTGGTGTATTGCTGTAGGATAAGCACTGGACAGCAAGGTCGGTTTGAGCTCCAGGGTTGGCGGTTCAGACTCACCAGCTGCTCCTGGGAAACCCTAAGCAGGGTTGCCATGAGTCAGAACTGACTCGATGGCACTTAACAGCAACACAGACAGATATCTATATTGTATACACACACATACATATATATTTATATGAAGGGGCTTTAGAAAGTTCATGGAAAAATTTCATTATCTTTTCATTCCATGTTTTCACAGAATTTTTGAAGCCCTCATGTTATTCCACTTGGTGGTGTCCCACAGATTCCTCATGTTTCTTAACTCTATTCTTCCTTCTCCTCAGACAGAAATACCTTTTTCTTTTTTTATGTTTTATTGTGAATTATGTGATAGTTTACATGGGAGAGCATTAGTTTTACATTCATCTATTGTATATATTGTTTCATTGCCATGGTTACAGTTCCCTCCATGTATCATTAACTTACCAAAGTGAATACCCTCCAAGCCTGCCCCCAGGTCATCAGCACACAGCCCCTCTCCCTCTCTGGGTCTAGAGCTCCCAACTGCTCCATCTCTCCATGTCATTGTCTCTGCCTCCATCTCTGGTGTCATTGTTTCTCTGGGTAGGGTCCCGCACTCCACTCTTCTCCCTTGATGGTCCCAGGGCCCTCTGCTCCTGGACCGCAAAGCCAACCACTCCCCTCCATTTGCTACAAAGCATCTACCTTTACATTTCAACCCTCATAATCAGTCCTGATAACAATTATTCACTATTGTACCACAAGAGACCTATCCCCATCTCCTTTCATCAGCCCCGCCCAGACAGATTGGCTACTACTCAGTGGAGATTCTACTTTCCTCCACGTCCTCAAGATCTAGGATCCCTCTTGAAAACTTGTAAGCCAGACACTTCTTGCCTTTGTAGCCCCCCCATTTTGGGTAGCCAATGTCCAAGTTGTCCATCCCTGTCTACTCCGTGTATGGAGGGGCTGGGAATGATCCTCGCTGTAAAGATCTGTTCCCTCTGATGAACTGGATCTACACTTATGGATGCAGTAGCTCAAAAAATTGTATCAGATTACTCTTTTTTTCCTCTTCTTTCTTCTTCTAGTTGAGCTCTGATCATCCAGTCATTGAAGCCAGGTCAAGTGGGTATTATCTGCAAGTGTGGGTGTTCTTATGCATATGCCCTCTTTTCTTATCAGCTGGACACTTAACTCTCCACTCTAGTCCTCTGTGGCTATGTCACTGACTCTGGGCCTAAGATTCCCCAGGTCTTGCCACACTGCTGGCCATCCAGGTCTCCACCCAGGTTCACAGGAGTCTATTGAAAGTTTTAGGGCTTAGCTGGCAGCTTCATTGCTGTTTTTCCCTCACTTCCGCTTATTGGTGACCATGTATCAGAGCGTATGTCTGCTCGAGTATTCCCATTGAGTCTTAGTCTTGGAAGGAGGTTTGCTCTGAGGGGACCTGACCACTTACCTCCATGTCTTCTGGGTGAGCAACTTGCTTGTTCTTGTAGTAGTCCGACTGCTGTTAATTTTTTTTTTATCTTTCCAGTCGGTCTTTCTTTCAAGATGTATCTTCTGTTCTTTTAGCCACTCCAGGCTGGTCTGCTTGTCCTTTCAAGTGGAAATTTACCACCTCAGAAGATTCTGGATGGGGTTCAGGATTCCACCTATGGTCTTACGTAATGCAAAGGCTCTGCAGGAAGCCTCCTTCACT